TTGTAGAGGACCATCCTTAAGAGGGCTCCCAGCATTCAGAAATCAGGAGGGACCAAGCAAATGGAACTGAGAAAGAACAAACTATGAGTTGGCAGGAAAGTATTGTGTGATGGAAGCCAAGTGAAGAAAATATTACAAGAAGGGAGTGATTATCAGTGCCAAAAAGCTGCTGAGAAGGCAGTAAGATGAGGACAGATAACTGACCACTGGTTCTGACAACAGAGGTCACTGTGACCTTCACAAGTGTGTTTTCAATGGTGTAGTGGGGAACAAAAGGCTGATTGGATTGGCATTAAAAGATAGTCAGAAATAAGGAAGTAGATGTTTATTGAATGGGTAAAGTATTGGATGAATGAAGAAATGATGTCTTAGGATTCTGTAACTGGTGAGGAACCAAAATAGAAGAGTTATTATGAACTCTCAGAGTCTGAAAAACTTCCAAATAGAAACAAGTATGCAATTTTGTGATGTGAAGTTTTCTTAAGTGAATTTAGAGTAGGATTAAGCAGGTAGTATGGTTATTCTAGGGAAGGTCTGTGTGAGTTCTGTAGTGGCTGAATTTTATTTATTGCCTTCATGCAGGACTTCTCAGTGGCTTCAAAAAAGAGCTGTCCCTCCAGGGACTTGGTGTAGGATTTTAGAAACTATTTCCAAATACCTCTTGCTACTGCGTGAGGTTGCTAAAAGAAGCCTATGAGGCTAGCTCCCATTCTTTTGGAGATTGCGAAGCACTATGTCTGAATGTTTGGAAAGAGGTGAACAGGAAAAGCTTGACCCATTTAATATAGTGCATTCGAAAATGCTGTATTTGGAAGTATTTCTATGTAAAATTTTTATACTGAAATAATAATGAAGATATGGGCTAAGAGATCACCTATATTTGATGAATGGGTAAGCTGTTCTCACCTGCCACTCCCTGAAGTGTAACAGTAATGAAGTATAGAGAATATAGACTTTGGGTAGAGCAAACCCAAGCTTTGATTTTGTGTTATTCCCTATGCGAAATTCCTCAAATAGGCAGAGTTTTCAAAAGGCATTTGGTAGAGATCCCGCATAGAATGTGTTTTTACTTACATGACTGAGCACATATATTTCCCTTTATAATTTTTTTTTATGTCCAGGGCTTGGATTGTGATATTGAACCAGCCATAGACTATTTGAAGAGCCTCCTGTCATCCTGTGTTTCCTGTAGTTACCCAAATGGATTGGGTGCTTTTATTTGTCTGTCTGTGCCTTTGCCCATGCTGTGCCCTCTACCAGAAATACTCAAACACCCTTCTTCATGGCATATTCAGATTGAGGAATGCTTTCTCTAGGAGGCCTTCCTGACTTTTGCAGGCAGAGACAGATCCCCTCTCTGTGCTCCCCAAATCATTTGCATGTGCTGTTCCATCTCCACACCTACTACATTGGACTACAGTTGTTTATCCTTCTGGCTCCCTCACTGGGCTCTGAGTTTCCTGAAGTCAGTAATTTTGTCTTCTTCCTATTTTTAACTTGTGCGTCTAGAACAGAGCTTGTACATTTTGAGCACACAAAATTAATGCTTGTTGAATGGATGCATGAATGCTATGAATGAATGAGTGAATGAACACATGAAAAGATCAGAAAAATGTTACTCCCCCAAATGGAAGCTAATAAAAGCATAAAGTGTCAGTGACTTTACATATATGCAGAATTTGTGCATGTAATGGTACTTTCCAAATCCAATTGAGATGACAAGATCATTATAGATAATGCATATGAAGAGGAGAGTGATATACACACAATCAACTTGTTATATATGTGGCACAAGATGGTGAGAGTGCTGATTAAAAGCAGAGCTGGCAATGGATTTGGCTATGATCTAGATTTGGGAGAGAGATTTGATCTGTGGAACGCACAAACATTTTGGTGTTTGTTATTATTTTAGGCAAGATATTTTTCATTTCAAAATTTAAGAGCAAGATACACTTTAGGAAACATGTTTACCTAAAGCATGGCTTCATTGGGAAAAAAAAAGAAAAACAAACCAGCTATTACACCTCTACAATGGAAGTTATATTGAGCCAGTCATTTCATTCTCACATGCCTCGCTTTCTTTCATGCATAATTTGTAAAATGATAATAGTCCTTACTAGTATTTACATTATAAATATGTTGTTACTATAAATTAGATAGTATAAAATGGGTTATGATGTCTTCATTGAAAGACAAGCACTATATACAAATGAGGTATTGTTATTATTTAATTTTAACTTTTCAATCTCATTAAGTGAGAATTAGTTGAAAACTCTGCTTTAAACAATATCCAGTGGGTAAATGATTATTGACTCAAGTGAAATGAAAAAAAAAACCTTCAGCTGAAAATTCAGCTTAGCCAGTCTGCACAAGGCAAAAATATTGTAGTTATCCATAATGTTTACCACTCTTCTTGATCTCCTTCCTGGGCTGTAATCACAAACTGAAGACAGTTAAAGCTTTCAATTCATAGTGTGCATTTTAAATAAAATAGATATCCTGGAATGATTATAATTTGGAAATAACATTTCAACTAACCAAGCCACGTAGCTAGTTTTGTTATTGATCTGGGACTTAAATAGACCATGTCAGGCCTTTACTTGAGCTCCCGGTTCCTAGAGTTGGGATGGCTTTTACTGTAGCCTTTTCATGTTAGTTACCACTGCTACCTCTGTGCTCCCATTAGCACCAACCAAGCCAGAGTTTTCCAATATTCTTCTTGGAATACAGGGTTATGGTGGCAGGAGAGAGTTGTGGAAATAACATGTGGGGAGCTGTGAATGTCAGAAACTTCCGTTTGTATCACGAAGGCCTGAGAACTGCCAGAGTGCACTGAAAGGGGTCAGGATAATGGCCAGCATATCTGTGCCTGGCCTCTGCATGTGCAGCCGCTTCCGCCCATTCTCAGTCCTTGGTCCCTGCTCTTGTGCTGCCCTGTCCTCCTCCCCTCACATCCAAACCCCTTCTGGTGTCCATCCATTCTGCCTTGACTCACCTTCACACCCTGGAACCAACCTTCAACATGGCTTGCAGTTGTGGTCATCTGTTTTCCACCTGACCCATTTATTTTGGCTTCTGGATTTTGTTCTCAGAGAGGCCCCCTGTGTGGATAGCTGCCTGGCCAGCTGTTGGGCCGGATGCCTGCTTTCAGACTCCAAGGTGATGAAATTCTTCTCCCTGCCCTTTGGTCCTAACACATGAGCTATGGCGATAGGTGAATGATAATGACAGTGTGATAGCTGTCAGACCAGATTTTTACCTATGAAGGTCATTTCATTGATGGGCTGCTCAGAGAGATAAGTGTTCATTCAAGTGCGGCAGTGGGCCTTGGGGCTGGGAAGCCTGTGTGGGCCTTAGAGGTCTAGTGAAGGGTCAGGTGCAGAAGATGAATTAAGTGGAAAGCACAAAAGGCAGATCTGGTTCACTCTACAGCGTTAGCCATGTCCAGCACTGGTTGTGGGACCACTGTTCAATACACAGGGCCTGCCTACCAACAGCACTGCCATGCAGCCAAATGAGCAAATGTCAAGGTGGGAAGGGAGCTGTCATGATGGCCCCGTTTCTCTACCTTTAGGGAGAAAAACTAGGAATTACATCTTCCACTTTAATGGAAATTTTTTTGACGTAGTTGTCTGTATGCATTGGTTCCATTTATTCCTCAGCTCGGTACCTGGCTTCTGCCTTCCTTGGCCCACTCTTGCCCAATTGCTCGAGTATTTCCTTGGGACTCACCCCACAGGTGCTTCTCAGTCTTTTCTCTACTTGATCTCTTACAGCATATACCTTTGTTGACCACAGCCTACTTGTTGAAATGTGCTCTTCCCTTTGTGCTGATACCTCACATTCTTGTCTTCATCCTATCCCTGTGGCTGCACCTTCTCACTCTCTTTTTTTCACGAACCCTCCCTCTGCCCTTTAAGCTTTGGTGCTCCCCTGGGCTTTCTCCTGGGCCCATTTCTTCTCTCCAACACTCACTCAGGGTACCTTTTTCATCCCTGCGGATTCTGCTGTTGCCTGTCATATACTGATGATTCCTAACTTCCAGATCAAACTGCCTACTGCTACCCTGCGAATGTTCCCCAGGCATTACAAACCAAACATAGCCAAGGCTGAACTCTTCCCCCTTTCCCCCGTAACTCCTTTATTTTGTATGTGTATCTTTGCTGTCTTAGTGAATGACATAATTGTCCACACACTTGTTGAAGTCAAAATCTGAGCAGCAGTTTTGCCTTCACCACCCTTCAAAACTCCAACACTCAAGCAATCACAAATTTCAGTAGATTCTACCTCCCCTGACATAGCTTGTAAGATCCTGAATAATTGAGTCCCACTTGCCTTTCCAGTCTCATCACTGATCAGTCTTAGCTATGCTCAACTAATTTTCAATGCTGAGATGTTCATCATTACACAGTCATTTCTATCGCCTCCAAAACTTGCATATGCCATGCCTTCTACTTGAAGCAGACTTGGTCCACCTCTTTTTAAAACTAACTCCTTCTGACCTTGTAAGTCTCCATACAAGGAGATATCACTAACTTTGAATTCTCCCAAAGTCTGGGGTGGTAACCCTCTCTGAAAGATCTCGGGTCCTTTTTCTTACTTTTCTCTTCATAGCACACTGCTTTATTAGAGCTGCCTCTCCTATTTCTACTGAAGCTTGCCTTCTACTGTAAGTTCTATTATGAGATCCCCATAAGCAGGGACCATATTTTCCCCCTTCAATTTTGTGTTCTAGCACCAACAAATCATTTGGCACAAAATAGATGCTCAAGGAATGAAGGAATATAAGTGCTAAAAGTACCATTGTGAAAATACAAATTTCCAATCAGAGAATATGATTAGGATTTACAAAACAAAGATGTATTGAATGCTTCTAATATCAGAAAGACTTGAAGTTTATCTAAAACTACTTAGAAGACTTCATCAACATTAGAATCATGAGCAGAAAGTAGTTAATAGAGGTATATTTCAAATATCTCCCTTTTGGGCTTCTTTTCCAGAGTTCAATATCCAGACTCTCTGAGCTGTGTTTTGGGGTCACACAAGTATCCCACTTTTCATGAACTACTGGATTCATAACCCATTCCACACTTGAGAACATGGGCATTGAAATAAGGTGAGTGTTCACTTTTCTGTTTTTTCCTCTATTATTTAGCTTTCAGCCATGTACTAGTAGAGCAATGATTTTTAAATTCTCCTTTCTGGAGTCTTCATCATGGGTGACTGCCTATCCATGCTAGTCTTGCTGGTCTTACAAGGTTTGAGTAGCTTATATATCTGAAGAAATATCACAGAGTCTATTGAGAAATTATGTCCTTCTAAATTTTCTTTTTTGTTGCATTACTATTTAAATTTTTCATCATTGTTTATTGATTTTTTTCTAATGTGAGTCCAGATAGAGAAAAGTGGGTTTTGGGAAAACAGAAAGATTTGCTGCCCACTCTGGACACCTTTTGGGCCAGATGCACACTACGAATATAGGATATGAGCAAGCAATCAAACTTCAAAGTTAACCCTCTGTTTTTGCCATACTGCCTATGGCTGCCACTCCGTCCCCACTGCAGATCTTCACTAGCACCATACCTGCTTTGGTTTTTCATAAAAACAACTTAGTATTATTTATCTTATTTGTTTATTAGCTATCTCCTCTGTAAGACTGTAAGCTTCATGAGGGCAGGGACTTTGTTTTGTCCACCACTATCACCCAGCACTTGGAACAGTAGTTGGTACATGGTTGGTACTCAATAAATATTTGTTGATTGAATGAATAATGTTTTTGAAATATTTTTCTTAAGAGGTTGATGCACATCCAGGTCTGTAGGGATCTAATGCAAGTCTAATTTGTGGTCTTGTCCCCTGAACACTTTCACTAATGACTATGATGATAACATCGATGGCATGCTGAACAAATTTAAATTTACACACAACTAGAAAAGGATAACAAGTTGGATGATGCAATCAAGATACCTCCTACTCCCCAAATCCTGACAAAATGTAATAAATCAATCAAATATAACAATATAAAGCTTAAAGGGGAAAAATATAAAGTACTCAAAGATCCCCAAGTTCAATTGTACATGTACAGGTTGGGGGTGAGATGGCTCACAATTGCTCATGTAGAGTCTCCTGTTGATTGTGGGTAGACAAAGAGTAAGTACAGTGTAATGCAACTTCTAAAAAAAAAAATCTTCTGTTGTGTTAATAGAAATGTAGTCAAGTGGGAAATAGTTCTCTAGTACTCAGTGGTCATCAGGCCACATCTCTTCTGTTTTATAAAGTCTGATCTTCAGTCCTTAAGAAAGACATTGATAAATGGAAGATTATTAAAGAAGAGTACAAAAAATAAGGGATCTGGTAAACAGTGTCATATAAAAAAATGATTAAGGGACCTAAGGTTGTGTGTGGGTGTGCCAGGAGGGTGATAGCTAACGTATGTAGCTACCTTCCAAAATTAGGGGGGCTACCCTGGAGAGAAGAAATTAGATTTCTTTTGGGTGATCCCAAATGTCAGATCAAGGACTCATCAGTGGAAGACACAAGCATATATATTTCAACCCATGGGAATTTATCAACAGTGAGATTTGACCACCAATTAACATGGACAACTACTGGAGGCAGTAAGTGTGCTGACCCTGGTGGTAGTTAAGCACAAGCTGGGTATTCCTGCCTCATTTGTTGGATACATTTGAGATGGAAGTTCAAACACCAGGGTAAGATATTAGCTTCATTACGACAGCAAACACATATTGAGTGTTTACTCAATGGCAGCTACCATAAGTGAGTAATGTGGATTGTTATTTTTAATACTCACATCAATCCTATTAGCTCTGTCTTACAGATGAGAAAAGTGAGGCTTAGAAGGGTTAAATAATTACCTGAAATCTTACACCTTGTACAAAGTAGAGCAAGGATTTGAACTTCAGCATTCAGATCCTTGACCTTCTTTATTCTATAAAGGACTCCCACATCTAGAAAACCATTCTTTACCACCCTGAGGTTCTATCACTCTAATGAAGTAATCAAATCAAGGAGGTTATTCTCTCCAGTGGTAAATGATTCTACAGTAAGTAGGTTCTTTCAGTATAGTATGCAGGGACTAAATTAGCTGGGCATTTGCCACTTGTAGTACTCTATATGGAGCCCAGCATAGGACCTGGCACAAAATAGGTGCTCAGTAATTATTTATTAAGTGAAAAGAATGAGTGAACACAACTACACAAGATTGGCTGCATTTGAAATGACAGAATCTTAGTATATTGTGCCTGAGGAGAAACAAGCACATTTCTGGGTGGTCTACTGAGGACACTTGGGAAAAAGTGATAATCCATCATTCTTGGCAAAGGCCTCAGGAGTTCATTCCTGTTCAGTCATTTAGACAATATTCATTTAAACAAATATTTATCGCATTCCTGTCCTGTGCCAGGTTTGCTCAACCTGCTGAGGGTGCAGAGGTGAATCAGAGGATGCACTGGTAGAGGGGGAGATGGACAGGTAAGTAAAATCTTATGATACAATGTAACGAGCACTATAGCAAGAACATGTGTGTGCATGTGTTTGTGTGTGTATGTTTTAAGTATTACAGAAACAGAGCAGAACAGAACTAATTCTACTTGATCAAAGGAGTGGATTGTGTTTTAAGAATGAATGCCACATATGTTATATGAATTTATTTGGCCTTCATAAAGACCATGTGAGGTTGTGATCCCTTTTTTGTACAGATGAAATAGAGTTTCACAGAGGTGAGATGAGTTCTCCACAGTCATGCGGTTAGTAATAATAATTGCTGGCATCTACTGAGTGCTTAGGATACCTAAGTCTCTGTTTTAGGTCCTATTAAGACATTTAATCCTTACAACTTTATGAGGATACCACTGATATCATTGCCATTTTCCAAATGAGAAAACTGAGGCATAAGATTTAAACAACTGGTCTGAAGTCATAGCTAAAAAATGGAAAAATCATGATTTGCACCTACACATTCTGGCTTTAGCAGGCACACACTTACCTACTACATTAAATTTCCTTTCACTGGTCCCATGAAGAGCTGGAACTCACACTTGGATTCTGACTCCACATTCAGCTTTCTTTGAAGTGACCTTGCTCCTTAGTAATACTGCATTGAAATGAAAAGAAATGGTATATGCATGGCTACAAGGAGAGGCTGTGTAGGTCAGGTATCTGTTGAAGCGTTTGGGGAGAGGTATGCTAAAATGTAGAATAAGCATCAGTTGTGTAGGTAGGGTTTTTCAGGGCAGCCAGAATTTGGCCTGTGGTTTTCCAGGTCAGCAGTCTGGGCCTAGAGACTATGATTTGTTACATATAGGAACTAGCCACCAACACTTAAACCCTGCAGCCTTTTAAAATCTAATTTGAATTTTTCTGAAAGAAGATGACAAGATGTAAAACATCAAGAATGAAGTAAGTTAAATTGAGTACTTTATATATAAGCAAGAATGGAGATACAGAAAAGGAGACATGAAGCACATAATTGCTTAAATTGTCCAAGCTTTCTCTCCATAATAAAAATTCCTGGATTGAAAAATAGTTCAATCCAATATTACTGTGCCTTAATAATTATGCTGAGTTGGCTCTGTGGCAAATCTGAGAAAGAATTCGTTATTAAAATGAATGGAGTAGATTATTCTTCCCTCATTAATTGCTACTTCAGCTAACGTGGATATGACCTGTGCAATTATATCTACTGTGTTTTTAAGACATCTATCTCCCATAATTTTTGGATTTGGTAATTTAAAAATCAGCTCCAGGCTGGGATTTCTGTGGCAGGTGGGAGGGCAGAAAAGGTCAATGTTCTTCATCATTCTTCCCTTCAAAGCAGGTGGGATTTTTGTTTTTTAGTGTTTTGTTTTGTTATTTATGAAGACCTAATAGAGTCAACTGATTATCTTGGCTTTTTTGTTTATGGATTTCAATTTCTTGGCATCAGGTCCTTGGAAACATTTGTTTTGATGGTGGCAAGAGTTAGTCATGTCTTATTTTTGTTGTTCCTATTTATTTTTAAGATCCTTTAGTTCAAGTCCACTTACAAGGTATTGTATAACCTGTATTTATGTCTCCACAAATAAAATATTCCCAACAGTAACATCTAGTACAAATTTATAGGAATGGTTAATTATTTGATGCTCAGTTGATGCCCATCAGAATGATTCTATAGTATTAAAAACGAACAAGGTTATGCTTTGGAAAACTATGTCTGAAATTTATAATTGGATTTAGCATTTAACATGTAAAATTTCAAGTTTCTTAGGTTAATTATTTTTGAGTTACCAACTAGCCAAATTCTTAGAAACATATTTTTCCTCTGTATCACTGAGTCAACAAAAGTTGGAAAATATTTTTTCACATATTCCATTCTTTAAGCCTGAAAGTAAATTACTTTTAAAAACCACATCCCAGTTTTTCATAAAATTGTGAGTAAATGAATAAATGGGCTTCACTGGCATTTGGAATGTATGTATAATTAGAACTCTCAGTATTTCAAACATATAATTTACGAAAATTGAGGTTTTTAATTTTTAACTTTGGGAACACTAGGATGAAATAAGTGACCCTTGTTGGAAATATGTCAAGAATCAACTTTCTCAAGCTGACCTTTAGTTTGTTGGTCACCAAATCAAAAAACTGTTTATTCCCAGATTTAAAGATCCCTGAACTTTTTTAAGTTCTAGCACTACTTTGCTGCTGTGAAGAACAATTTGCCCTCTCCCTTCTCCTTGATGTTTCTTTGTTGGTTTCTCCATGAGAGATGCTGCATCCCAACTGGCTCCATCTTTGTTGCAATATGAAGCATATTGCACCTCCCAGACACCTTCTGGGCAAGGCAAAACAGCTGATTATCAGCCTTTGAACTGACTTGATTTTTTTTTAATTGAAGTATATCATTGATATACGATCTTACATTGGTTTCAAGTATACAGCATAGTGGTTCAACACAAATTATTATTAAATCCTCACCCCCCAGTAGTACATATTACTAAGTCCTCACCCCTACTAGTGCAATTACTTTCTGGACTTGATATATTTTTTAGTACAGAGTTCCAGATGAGGCACCAACAATGGCTACAAATGCTCTCAATCACTAATGTTCATAGTTTTAAAATGGCAACACAAGATTTGCAATCCATTAGATTATTGTGTGACCTTGAGCAAGTAACCTCTCTCCAAAATCGCTATTTTGCAGGGTTAGTGTAGTAAATAATTGAGATTATATGTGAAAATACTTAACAGGAGGACTGGCACATAGTTTCAAGTGTAAGTTGAATTTATGGGAGGCATGTAATTAATGATCTTTGGAAACTCAAATGGACAAATGCACTCAAATCGACATTCACTGCCCCTAGCCATTTGTTAAAGCAGAAATTTCACTTCCAAATGAATAACTACATCTGCTTTGAAGTCTACATTCAGAACAAAATGTTACTTTAATGATAATCTGTTAATATATTTCATATCAGGAGCTGGCTATGATTTCTTTAGGAAAATATTATGTGAATAAAGGGAGGAAGGAAAATTAGATAAATGAAAAGTTTTTATTTCAAAATAAATGGAGGATAGTTATCTGATTACAGAACATTTAGATGATATAATTATTATATGTCCACATGTAATTACAAAACATACTAGTTTTAATAAGTTGGTTTTGAAAAGTTTACTTATCTTAAAGAACTAATTTTTTCATAATTGACTGGAAAATCCTGCAGTATATGGTATTAACTATTAATGTACTAAAAATTTCCCATTAACTATATTTTTCTTTAATTGTATCTATTGTCACAGCCTTACATTTATTTCATCAATACAAAAGGAGTGATTTAAACTGCTTGCTGTCTCTGCATATTATAAAGTAGGAGAAATAGGTATTCCCCAACCCACTTACCTGTGAAAAGAAAACACCCTCCTGAGTTGTCAGGAATTAACACTGTAATAAAATTACAAGAAAAATTTTGTTAAGAACCTTTTCTCATCTGCACGCTATTTGACTGAAACCTGAGGTGCTGAATTCCAGACAAAGGTGACTTTGGAGGAGAAAGTTTGTGCCAGACTGGATCAGTTGTTTTTGTGTTACATAAGAAGGAGAAAAAAAAATTAAGTGTTTACTCCTAAGCCACAAATTTAATATTATCTTATTACACCAAATGACAGAATTTCCAAATCACAAACTTCACTTTTACAGTTGTATTTTTGTGAACTATTATCTGTACCCACTCAAAACTAAATATTTAAATAATAATTTGCCTTGCCCAATTATATTTAAAACAGTTATTTTATTCACTGTCAGAAGTGAATTCCAGTTGAATTGTGAAAATGGTGTTAAAATATTAAGAGATTTTCCAAGTTGTTTTTCCTGATTATAAAGAATTTATATGAAGTATAAAAAATATAGAATATACAGTAGAGTAAAAACAACAAAAATCACCAAATCACCCATAATTCTATCATCCAGAGCTGATCACTATTAACATAATGGGTGCTTACACACACACACACACACACACACACACACTCACCAAAATACCCCTAACATATAAGTACATATTAATGTTTTATTATGGGATTTTTAAAACATAAACAAAAGTGGAAATAGAACATAATGAACCCCATGTACTGATCAGCCCATGATGGCCAACCAGTCAATACGCTCTTCTTCTTCCCCATTCATTTTATTTTAAAGCAAATTCCAGAAATTGTATCATCTTATCCATAAATATTTCAATATAGATCTTTAAGAGATAAGGACTTTTTTTAACATAACCATCATCACACCTAAACTAATTAACATTACTTTAATATTGACAAATATTCAGTCAGTGACCAAATTTCCAATTGTCTCATAAATATTATAATTTATTTTTATAGTTTGTTTGAAGCAGGATCCAAATAAGGTTCACATACCAAGATTGGTTGAATTTAAATGGTAGTACCCTAGACTCATTTTTCCCCCTTTAAATCTCTTTAAATATATATGGGTTTCCTCTCTAATATATTTTCCTTGCAATTTATTTTTTGAAGAAACCAAGTTGTTTCTCCTGTAGGACTTCACACAGCCTGGGTTTTTCTCATCATATCCCCATGGTATGGTTTACCGTGTTCCTCTGTCCTCTGTATTTCCTAAAACTAACTAGGCTTTACCAGATTCAGATTTCTTTTTTCAAGACTGCTTTATAGGTAGTGGTGTGTTTTGCCATTAGGAGGTACATAATATATAATAATCTCTTTTTTATGATGTTATCTAGCTAGATTCACTAGTTTATTAAAGATTTCAAAATAGTGATATTTTAATAGTATTTTTCCTTCAGTTGATTTTCTGGTATGTGCCAATGGTGGTTAAATTTGTTACTTTGCTCTTGTTTTTTGGGTTTGCTTTTTAATTATCATTTGAACTCATTAAATGAAACATATTCAATGCATTTCAATATATCTTATTTATTATTCTTATAAATGCTGAAATTGTCCCTATTTGACCTGTGGTAGCA